AGAAACAGCATATGTTCAAACTCAACATGAATATACATGAGCTTAAATGAATATAAATATGAGGGTGTAAGTGAACATAATTATATGGGTGGGAATATGAATATGTGACTGAGCATAAATGAGCATGAATAGATGTGTGTAAATAAACATAATAGATGTGAGTATAAATGAACATAAACAGATGTACGTGTAAATGAACATAAATAGATGTGAGTGTAAAAAAAGTACATGAACAGATGGAAGTGTAAATTAACACAAAAATGTTAGTGAACATGAATAAATATGAATAGATGTGAGTGTAAATGAACATAAACATGTTAGTGAACATAAATGAACATCACCTGATTTGAATGTAAATGTATATGAATAGATGTCAGTGTAAGTGAACGTGAATAGATGTGAGTGTAAATGAACACGAATAACTAAGTTGTAAGTGTAAATGAATATAAATATGTGAGTAGATGAACATGAAAATGTGAGTGTAAATGAACAAACTATGTGAGTATAAATGCACATGAATAGATGTGTCTGTAAATGAACATGAATGAAAGAAACTATGAACATGAGCAAATGTGAGTGCTAAAAAAAAACATGAACATATGACCACCTTATCTTGTGCATTTGTTGGTTAGGTACATTTCGATAATTTACATGCAAAAATTGGCAGTTCCATGCCCAGAACATGTTCAAAGAGTTATGTTTAAAAAAACAACTTTACCCCAGCAGCAAAAATATACATGTATTACAACATAAATAGCACAAATGTACACTATTGCTGTCAAAGGATCATATGCCAGGTCAGTTCAACCATGAAACCAAAATTATACCTAAATGACAAACTGTGTTCCCCATGCAAATGTCAACCTAAACCTTCTTATGACTGGCAAACCACTGACAAACTGTCATTACTGCCTGCCTGTAACTGATTGCCGTATAGACCAGTGGGAAGGTGGGGGCAACCTGAGTCTGCAGATTTTATTCGGACCACATGGCTAGTGTGAGTCACCGTGGCCGAGCGGCTAGACGCCGGTAGCGGATCGGAAGGTCGTGGGTTTGGTATGCTCCCGGGCAGAGCCGGACTTTTTTTAAAAATGTCCTTGGCTCCCAGGTCGACCCAGCCTTGAGTGGGTACCAGGTGCAGTCCCGGTAAAGTAAAGTCGGCCAGTGTGATGCTAACCACATCACCCATCTTGTGCCGATTGGTCTATAAAAATATAGGTCTAGCCCTATATGCCCTATACGCCTGATGGCGTGGAAAAGGTTCCTGTACTTTACATGGCTAGTTCTGTCGTCACGAGCTGTGCAGGCTGGAATCTGACTTCTTGTGTCCCCAAAAGACACAAATCCATGGCTTTACTGAGGACTCAAACCTGGGCTTCGACAAATGAATAAATACATCATAATTAAAAGTGCAGTTATGCACAAAATAAAGGAATGATTTCCAGCTTTTGTTATCCACAAACAAGTCCACAGATAAATGTTTGTATACACAGAAAAACTAGACACATAGAAGTAGTTGTGTTTAACATTTGGCAAATAAAGTCACAACAACTGGCAAGTAGCATTAAAATACAAGCAAGTTACAAGAAATCTTGTTAACTGTTTATAAAAATTAAAAATAAAAAGTTTAAAATATAATCAAAAAGACTTTAGACCTGAAAAAGACATCCAGCTGGCGATGCATAAGTTGCTTTACTATCAATGACAAAAAATTATTTTTCCAAAGAAATTCATGTACTTTGCAGGTAATGGTAACTATGTTGAAAAGTGATACGGATGTGATTCCTTTTCTTAATGACTCTAGAAAAAACTCTGTTTCATATCTTCATTTTGTACCATAAATAAAAATACTTTGTCAGTGTAAATCATCTTCTCACAAAAGACCTTTTACAAAAGATGGCCTGTATAGATTACTTGACCGCCATCAGACTATAACCAAGAATGATTTTACATTACACAAAACTAATCAGCTCAACAAACAAGAGACACATGTAGAATCACTGATCTGCAGACACATGTATGTAAAATCATTGATCTGTAGCCACATGTTTGCAATCAAATTTTAGATTGTAGAAATATATACAAAAGTGAACGTTAGAGTTGTAGCAACACATAAAAAGTGGAACTAATACATCTGTATGCGTTTTTTTTTTTTTTTTCAAGCTCTCCGAAAAAATTATACATTTATTTTCTGTCGTTAAAAAATACAGCAGTAAGTCACTCTGTTTTAACAACAAATCTAAAACATTTAAAAAAAAAAATTATGATGCAACTCTTCGGTTAAAACAAATTGCTGAATGTTGTTGATAGATAGAACATGGAACTTTTAATGTAGTGGATCACACTGCATCATCATCGTCCCGTACCAATGCATGTCATTGGGTCACCAGTTGCTGCTGATTGTCTGATCAACTTCCTCCACCTTTCACAGTCACATGCGATGGACTTCATATTGCATGCCTAAGGCTGTTCAGTCAGTCACGTTCATGGTCTGCCTCTTCTCCTCTTTTCCCTCTACTGAGCAATGTAGCACTGTTTTTGAGAGGCAGTTAGATCTTATTACATGTCCGTACCACTGCATTTTCTGCTTTTTCACTGTAGCTATAAAAAAAAGTTTCACAGTTGCCAACATGGTGGATAATTTACAGGGAACCTCATGCTCACACCTGGCACTGCATCCAGCAGTAGTGAGGGTAGCTAGCTCTCCATGCTTGTTAAGAGGCAGTGGGTCCATTCTTTCCCTCCCTCCCCCCCCCCCACCTGAAACCCCCATGGGCACTACGCTGAATCCAGGCCTAGATACATCCTACTAAGCTTCTCTAAAGATGTGAAGTTTTAATACCAGTTTTACACACCCTGCTGGTTCTCAGCTTGGAAAGGGGCAGCAGAGTTCTGCAACACAGTCTCCAGGGAGATAGTATTTTTTAGTATCAGATCTTTCCGTGTGGGTTTCTGAGGGCCCACACACACACAATGTCTACCTATCAAACATGTTGTAAAAAGTGACTTATTAGGAATTGTTCCTCCTAAGTCCGAAGGCATCTGCCTCAGAGGTGAGGAAACAACAGTCTGCATAGAAATAAGCTGATCTGTAAAACGGGTGTGCACAAAGAATTCAAGTTCTGGAACAAAACTAAAGATTCCCATTCCAATGGATGCACTGCCTTTTCAGGACTCAGACTATCTGAATGGCAATGTGGACTCAATCTTCCAGATTATGCTTTCCGAGAGAGTGGTCCATGGAACAAATGTAAAGGGCATTTGATATCATTTTCTTTTTAAACATCCTCAGCTTTAGAGAGCAATATATTTTTTTTAAATTGATTCTCAAAGTAAAGTAAAGGATTCTTTTCCCTGCAATAAGGCGTATTGGGCATACACACCTAGACCTATATTGTATAGACCAACGCAATAGGTGGGTGATTTGGTCAACATCATGCTGACCGCCTTTACTTCCCAGGACTTCACCTCGTATCATTTATGGCTGGGTCAACCTTGCAGCCAGTCATTTTGAAAACAAAAAGTCCGGCTCTTTCGGGGACCCGAATACACGATCTTCCGATCTGCAGGAGAGTGTCTAACCACTACACAACGGCAGCTTCCTTTTTGCAATTATAAAATTCACAAATTATAAAATTTTCTTCGGTGTGACTAATAAAAGGTAGGGGGTCCATGGAATACCTCTTAATATAAGAGGGACCCCTAAGTCTAAGATAATCTGGGAACCACTGTTCCCAGAGGATTTATCAACCAAATCACAACCCAGGCATGTGCCTGCAGTAAGAACAGATGTTTGCCACAAAATTACAAAAACAAGCTTGCTATATTTCACAGTAGCATGAACACTCATAAAAGATTTTGAGCACACAAACAAAAATATAATAACTCTTACTGTCATGGACTTGTAAATGATAAAACATATGCCACAACACTGAAACTTTCACAATGCTTGACTAAATATTTGTTTTTTAGCCTTTCTCACAACTCTTGAAGTGCGTGACTTAAATACTAGCAAACCTGACGAGGTAATTAAACTCACGCTGATTTTTTTCTGGAGAAGTTGAGGTATTTCGCATTTTCAATTATAATAATCAAGTAAAGTTACTGAGGTAAACTCACTACTACAAAGAGCTACTAAGTTACATTTCACCATTATCTACATTGCTCTGGGGAAAGGGGGAGTTCAGAAATTAATTAAGACCATAACTGTAGCACTTAAACAGTTACTAGTATACATCAAATATATGATGCCAACTTTTACTTCATATTAATAAACATCTAATATAATCATTTCTGATATGAAACAAAAGTTAAAGAGTACCACAATTATGACTCCACAAATGTGTCAACTTCCTACATATTAAAAAACCAAAAAAATTGTTGCGTGTCCTCTACAGGATGTTGCAGAATGGTTTCTCCTTTGATACTTGACTTACAGAGTACTATAATTATGACTCCTCAAATGTGTCAACTTCCTACATATCAATTAACATCTATACAGACATTTCTCATATGATACTTAGCTTAACAGTACCACAAGTATGACCTCTCGAATGTGTCAACTTCCTACATATCAGTTAACATTTACATAATAATTTCACATATGATTCTTAACTTAAGAGTACAAAAAGGAAATCAATCAATCAATATGGTGTCATCTCCACAATTAAGGTTGGCTGTATCAGACCTCCAACATACTCTTGTCTTAGAAGTACACCCTCTAAGACTGCTGTATATCTCTTGATGTTGTCCTCCCACTTGTACCATTGTCCACCTCTTGACGTCTCCAACCAGTATGGTGTTTTAAAGAATGTTAAGAATTTTAATGTGGCCCAAATATTCCAACTAGTGCCAAAATTATGACACCTCAAATGTGTCAACTTCACTTCATATTAATCAGCATTTATGCAATCATTTCTAACCATATATATAACTCCCCAAACGTGTCACCAGCATCAACAAAATTACAGAGAATACCTCTATCATTGACCGATGTCCGGTTATGGCATATCACTGATTGTACTGTTGTGCCTAGTTTTCCGGGTGCCCCCATCCTCAGTCAGACGTGTAGCATTGGATAGCGCCACAGTGCGGTCAAAATCAATCATAGCATAGCTCTCCGTTTTTCTGCTGGGGGATTCAGGAATGGACATGCAGCTGGTTGGAGATGTAGGCGAGTTGTTCCCTGCATTGCCACCAACATTACTTGAAACCGCCTCATTGCTTTGGTTATTATGATCGATAACGATGTAGTTGACCTGAAATAAACAAGTCAAAGATGATCAAGAAAAAACATAAAGAAATTATACAAACCAAGTGAAAATACCTCTTTCACAATTTAGTAAACTATTGTGCAATGTGTCCACACACAAATAAAACGAGAATTCCTGTGTGACTAGTAAGAAATTAAAACAAAGTGTGCAAAATAAATACATAGTTTTAAAGAACAGACTTATAAGCTTCCTGTTTTAGCTTTTCTCAACCACCCCATTTTATTTGTCCCTATCATTCTTATTATTATTATTACTATCTTTAGTTCGCTCCCTGGCCGAGCTGGACATTTTTCAAAAATGACCTTGGCTCTCAGGTGGACCCAGCCTTGGGTGGGTAGCGGGTGCAGTCCCGGGAAGTAAAGGCGGCCGGCGTGATATTGACCACATCACCCATCCTGTGCAGATTGGTCTATAAAAATATAGGTCTAGCCCTATATGTCTAAAGGCGTGGAAAAGGGTACTTAACTTTTTACTTACAATCTTTGTAGAAAAAAACAAATTCTACCAGGCATAGAGAAGGTCTCAAATTACTGTCTCTATTGGTAGGTCTACCTACGCTATCACTGAAGTATTTCCAACAGAAGTACAAAGTCGCTAGCATTTAGATTCCACAGTGCTTGACAGCTTAATTCTGCCTTTATTAAACACAATGGCATGAAAACTTTTACATTTGAATCATAATTTTCTCCTTCATCATCTCCTCGTTACATCACTGTTCTTCTCATAACAGGTCCTTTGCAGAATTCAGCTCGCAGTCTAGCCAACCATTAAGACACTCTTTGGTTAGTTCCCGCCGGCACTGTAATGCCTAATGTTTCTTTAATGTGATATGTTCTTTATGCTGGTCAACCATTCCTGATATTTCCAGAAACAGTACCTAAACTTCTAACATTTAATACGGTCAAAGTTCACCATGTGGGTTCTGGAGCTCCATTGCGGGAAAAACAAGAAAAGACCCACTGCCTACCCAGAAATGCATGTCGTAAGAGACAATAATTTGGGAGTTTCCTTCGAAGTCAAAGTGCATCTGCGCGAGTGCCAAGGAACAACCAAGTGCACATAAATAAACCAGTAAAACGGATGTACAGACAAAACTCAGGCCCTGGCACAAAGCCAAAGCCCAAATGGAGGAACAACCAGGACTTTCCGTGGAAACTTACAGCCGGTAAAAAAAGAAGAAATGGTCAAAGTGCTTCAGTTTCCATGAAAGAATGCTGTTTATGAGGATAAAGAATTTTTGTCTTTTTTCTGTTCTGCCTTTCGGCGTCAAGTTTTGAAGAGGCAACTAGCACAAGCCTTAGTGTGTGCTGCGTAGATACTGGTATTAACAGCTTCACATATTTCATTTATTCATCACTCACATGTGTGACCCCTAGCTCTGCTTCTCCTGTGTCTAAGTAGCAGGGCTCTCTGTGGTACACTATCTTATGATAGTCTTGACTTAACAGATGTCCAAACTATTTATCTGTTGACTCCTTAAGTAATACTACAATGGTTCCATACAAACTTGTTCTCTGATGTTAGCACTAATGATCCTGCCTCTTCTTATTACATTTAGGATTTGTCATAAACATTTCCTTTCTGCTGTTTCAATTTTCTTTTTGTTGTTAACGTCTACATCTGACAATGTAAATACAATACTGGTAAAAAATACTGTAATGAGTAGATAACACTACCTGCATTTCTAAGTTCTAAAACTTTACGCTCCACCGCACCTCAGACCGCTAGTGTTGCTTTTCTTTACCATTTAATCTAACAATATGTCACATTTCATAATTCAAAGTTTCATTTAAATGGGTGAAATGTGCTGGAAACTCCATACATCTCAAGCTTCTCAATTTTATTCATACATTTTTTGTTTATCACTATTATTACTATAATTCAACACTGCATAGAAATCAGTTCATGGCAAGGCTAACTGAGGCCAGGGAGGGGGTTCCACGTCATAGCATAAAGCCTGGGTATTTATGTAGAGACCATGTGTTGCCTATACAGCATAATCTCTCTCTCTCTCTCTCACAATGTATGACAGGAGGAAGACTAGAAGACAGAATGTTAAAAGGCCTGCGTGCCCAATTACCCTTTTAAAATAACGTATGTTTGTTTGTTCTCTGCTTGCTCAGTTAAATTAAAAGGACAGGTAACCAATATGTTTGTAATAAAGCATGCTGCAGAATTTGCCGGATCAGAAGAGCAGTGTATTGTTTGGATCAGAAAATCAGTGCACTGTCTGGATCAGAAAATCAGTGCGCTGTCTGGATCAGAAGAGCAGTTCATTGTCTGGATCAGAAAATCAGTGCGCTGTCTGCATCAAAAGAGCAGTGTATTGTCTGGATCAGAAAATCAGTGCGCTGTCTGGATCAGAAGAGTAGTTCATTGTCTGGATCAGAAAATCAGTGCGCTGTCTGGATCAGAAGAGCAGTTCATTGTCTGGATCAGAAGAGCAGTGTATTGTCTGGATCAGAAAATCAGTGCACTGTCTGGATCAGAAAATCAGTGCGCTGTCTGGATCAGAAGAGCAGTTCATTGTCTGGATCAGAAAATCAGTGCGCTGTCTGGATCAAAAGAGCAGTGTATTGTCTGGATCAGAAAATCAGTGCGCTGTCTGGATCAGAAGAGTAGTTCATTGTCTGGATCAGAAAATCAGTGCGCTGTCTGGATCAGAAGAGCAGTTCATTGTCTGGATCAGAAAATCAGTGCGCTGTCTGGATCAGAAGAGCAGTTCATTGTCTGGATCAGAAAATCAGTGCGCTGTCTGGATCAAAAGAGCAGTTCATTGTCTGGATCAGAAAATCAGTGCGCTGTCTGGATCAGAAGAGCAGTTCATTGTCTGGATCAGAAAATCAGTGCGCTGTCTAGATCAAAAGAGCAGTTCATTGTCTGGATCAGAAAATCAGTGCGCTGTCTGGATCAAAAAAGCAGTTCATTGTCTGGATCAGAAAATCAGTGCGCTGTCTGGATCAAAAGAGCAGTTCATTGTCTGGATCAGAAAATCAGTGCGCTGTCTGGATTAGAAGAGCAGTTCACTGTCTGGATCAGAAGAGCAGTTCACTGTCTGGATCAGAAATGCAGTTCACTGTCTGGATCAGAAGAGCAGTTCACTGTCTGCCCACCTGTGGGAGCTTCCCTGCTAGACCCCACCAACCAAGGTTAAGAACTAGGTCTGCCCTGTCACAAATTTTTTTCAGGCTACATTTTCCCATCTTTTTTTTTTTTTTTGTAAACTAATTCACATTTTTACTTACCTGTTTGAATGCTTTTGGAATTCTTGGCCCATGGAGAGTCAAATTAGCATAATTGGTGACGGTTTCATGACTTGGTGGAAGCACTATTTCTTGACAAGCTAGTGGAGGTGGGGCCGCAGCTGCCCTAGCTTCTTCAAGAGCAAGGTTAACATAATTGGGACAGACTAAACCTTCAGGTGGAATGTCGGCCAGAAAGACATCCGAGTCTGTCGAATGAAGAATGGAGTCACTGTCTTGAGATGCCTCGGCCAGAAGATCATTTGGCACAGAGATACGAGTATCTGCTTGAGCAAATTCAAGACAAACAAATTTTGACATTTTATTACAGTTATAATTCACACTATATTATACTATTATACACTATATATTATCAGCACTACTGTTAGGACTGTAGTTTATAATCTTCTGTGTTCAACCTGTAATGTGTGGTAGTTGACAGCTAGGCTGACAGTGTATAATTCACACTATTTTAAACTATTCTACTTATCAGCACTACTGTTAGGACTGTAGTTTAAAATCTTCTGTGTTCAACCTGTAATGTGTGGTAGTTTACAGCTAGGCTGTGATATCTATGCCTTTTTACACAACACACCCAATCTCAGCAATTCTCTAATTAGGACAACAGGCTTTTTAGGGAGCAGTTGGCCTATTCTTTTTTCTTCGCAAAAACCTGGCCAGGAAACCGAGTCAAGAAGTAAACATGAAAAAAAACCAAAGCAAACATTATTTTTAAGCTCTCATTTTTTTTAAACCAAGTTTATTTTATTTTTATTATGCTCTTGTTATTTTTAATCTGCTGTTTTTATCAATACTTAATTGTATTCAATTCTCATAATGTCTAAACGATTTCTTAGACCCATCACAGATGCAAACAGTGGAGAATGGAGAGTAAGAAACAACATTCAAATTCATAATCTATTTAAACTGCCAGTAATCAATGAGGGCTAATATACTGCAATCATTGGGGGAAAACAGAGAATGTGCAAATAAAAGAAAGACAACAACTTCCCACACAAAAGAGTTGAATGGGGGTACACCATGAGGCAGACAAGTGGACAGACACTAAATAGCTAAACCTACAAACCTTTAATGAAGGAAACCTGAGAGACACAACAGGAGAAAGAATCACAACAGGACAAAGAATCACAACGGGAGAAAGAATCACAACGGGAGAAAGAATCACAACAGGAGAAAGAATCACAACGGGAGAAAGAATCACAACGGAAGAAAGAATCACAACAGGAGAAAGAATCACAACAGGAGAAAGAATCACAACAGGAGAAAAAATCACAACGGAAGAAAGAATCACAACGGAAAGAGGGAAGGTTGACAGCTGGCAAGAATATTTTACCGAGTTGCTAAATAGGCCAGCATCAGATATCTCAATGCAAACAGTAAAAATCTGTGGCCAACTCCTAGAAATGGATATTGGGCCAATCAGCATTAAAGAAATAGAAACGGCAATAAGCAGTATGTAGAATAGGAAGGCACCAGGTTAAGACCGAATTAATGTGTAGTGTAGGGTGATATACAACAGAATGAAGACGACGACAGACAGGAGTTCTGTCGGAAGATCAGGCAGGATTCAGAAAAGGAAGAAACTGCTGGGATCATATTTTCGCTCGCAGAAATATTTCGGAACAAGCTTTAGAATTGAGCGCCACATTATATATAAACTTTATAGACTTTCAAAAAGCCTTTGACAGTCTAGATAGAACAATGATGTGGAGGATCCTTGCTGCTTAGACCAGATACAGTTATAAACATATTCAAAGGACTCTATGAAGGATACCAATGCAAAGTGAAAGTAGGACTCGAGGAAACAGAATTCTTCGTTAAGGGTAACATCAGGAGTCCGACAAGGGTGCATTCTGTCACCTTTCTTGTTTCTCATAGTGACAGATTATGTTACGAGGAAAGCAAATACAGGCACAGACTGGCCTTCAGTGGAACCTTGTCGAACACCTGGAACATCTGGACTTTGCAGATGATATCTGTTTCATCATCCAAAGTAAAGAACATCTGGAACAAAAGACAGATAAGATCATAGAAATAGCAAGACAGACAGGGTTAAGAAAAAATGTCAATAAAAGAAAACTGCTGGAGATAAACCCCAAAAGTGAAAGACCTATAGTAACAGATAATGTAGGTTTGGAAACAGTAACTGACTTAATTTACCTAGGAAGCAATATCTCCTCGGATAGAAATGTAGTGGCTGAAATCAAACAGAGAACTGCAAAGGCAAATGCTGCTTACAACAGACTTCACAGTGTCTGGAGATCGAACATCTACAGCACTAAAACTAAACTCAGGATACACAAAACATGCCTTAGGACAGTTCTCCTCTATGTAGAAAAAACTTCAGAAAACAGACAGAAAGATAGAGAGCATGCTCAGAGGTTTGAAGGGAAGGCTTCTCAGAAGATTGTTGGGGTTCACATGGGAAGATAAAATCAGCAATTCTAGATCACAAAAAAATGAGACTTAGAAAATGTAATTTTGAAATTAAAAAAACCAAGATGGAGGTGGATTGGACACGAAGACAGAGATGGCCGAGACAGGCACTGCAATGGAAACCTCAAGAACAGCGAGGAAAAGGCAGGCCCATAGGCACTTAGAGGCCGAACTCAAGGGTACAAGAAGAACAAAACTGGAGATAAGAGGATGGCTCAGGATCGAACTAAGTGGCAACAGTTTGTCTCTGCCTTTTGTGCCTCTGGGCGTGATGAGGATTGATTGATTGATTTAGACCTACAAACTCATGGAGTCACCAACTTGAAATAAAAAAAAAAGGGGGGGGGGGGGAGCAAATCACAGAGATGAACAGGGGTGCAGTAAGCTGCAAGGGTTCGGAATGCTAACGAAAATGAAAAAGTAGACACTTAACAAACAGGTGACATTGAAACAAGTTTCACTCAAACTATTAAAAAAATATATAATATTATCCATACAATGCTGCACTGGCCCAAAAAAAAGTTCACCAAGCTCCTTACCTAGGCCTCCAAATGACAAACTGTGTTGTGAAAGACGATTGCGGAGATCTGGCCCTCTTCGCTCAACATTGTGAAGTGCACCCTGGCCTGTTTCATCAAGTAAGTTCTCCATACTGGCCTGACTCAAATGACAATCTGGCATACACAGCTCTGCATAGTTCACCTGTCAAAAAGAGTTTGTGAATGGTTAAAAATATCTAAAATAAATTCACACAAGCAAATGTCACAGAAGTGGTAGGGTATTCAAAGGTTTCAAAGAAAGATGTTGGAGAAATTCAGTCTGCCTCAAGCTCAGTAGTTACCTAGTTTGATTCCAGCACATGGTAAGAGGTTTGTACAAACAACTGTTTTACAATCACGTCACAAATCTCTCTCCTCTAGGGACTTTATCACAAAGTATTGGTCTATGATGATGCCCCAAGTCTCCCTTCTTTAGGGACTCAATCACACAATATTGGTTTATAATGATGTCACAAGTCTCCGGCCTCTAGGGACTATCACAAACTACTGGTTTATAATGTCACAATTCTCCTTTTTCTCATGACTTTATCACAAACTATTTGTTGATAATTCTTTTCTCTAGGGATTTCATCATCAACTACTGTTTTGCAATCAATGGTGCAAGCCCCCCCCCCCACCCCCCCCCCCCCCCCCCCCCCATTTCCCCCACACACACAGGCATCATGAACATGAACTCTGGATATCTTGATGAAATATTTGCTCATAGTTGCCATAGTTATCAGGCATCACCATTGTTAGTGACAGCATGTGCCTTACCTTCACTGACAAAGGTTAAAAACAGAAGGCTCAAATGTGCACTTATTTAATATCTCATGGCAGATTGAAATGACAAAGTTTAGGCAGTAATGCCAACACCAGGGAAAATCAGTTTAAAAAAAAGATTTAGTAAAGGATGTGATAATTATTATACCTGGACATTTATATAAAAGTTTTTAAAAAAAGGAAAGATCCCTTTTAATGCCTTTTAGGTGCATCGGGCATACCGGAAGAGCAGACATTTATACAGGAGTATTTAAATATAATACAGGAGACAGAACTGAAGAAATGTAAATAGCTTTAAAGGGGGTTGATGAAAGAAACAAACAGTCAGCCAGCGTGGTCAACTCACCTGTGAAACACCGCTCCTACTGGTAACAACACCTGGCGGATTGTGAAGAAAATCTACCAGCGCTGCTGTGTCATCGATCAGGAATGCACCACTATTGGCGCGAGTACTGCCCGCATTAACATAATCGTGCCCACTGTCGCTGACCAGAATACCATTCACATACAAATGTGAGCTGTCCGTCCTTCCATTGGCACCATCTCGTGTATCCTCAAGGCTGTCTGACAGAACTATTCCATAAGCTTCGTGTTCTCGAGCTGGGGTATCGGTCACCAAAGGTGCTGCACGTCTGCAAGGACCATTTGTTACATTATTACAAAACTTGGTGCATTTATCTACAGTAAGTTGCCTACTGCACAAGTCAAAAATAGGGTAGACTAAGAAAATGTTACAATTTTAAAGTGGGCAAGTGTTTAGTAAGGGTGAAAAAGACAAAGGACATACAGTAAGGAGTAGAGAGACATATAAAAAGGTAGACAGAGAACAGACGCTGGTAAAGAACCCTTTTCCAGGCCTTATTTGGCATATAGAATGGGAGCTGTTAGCCTAGAAATACTTGGAGACATTCTCAGGAGGAGATCGGAGCATTTTTGGTCATGACCAATGTGTGATGAAGATGACCTTTTAAATGAACAATGGACAAATAGGGCTAGATATCTATTTTATGGATCCTTCGTAATGCCGGGGTGCCGGATTCGATCCCAGCTACGGGCCTTGCGCTTTGTGTTGGTTTTGGCAGTGGTACCGAGAAGCCAACCGCCTAGAAAGCAATGGCAAATTACTGGATGTAAATTAGCCTAGAAAAACCACAACAGCGAAGAAATGTTGGGGTGGTTCTGCAATGTCCTGTAACTTAACTATATTTTATAGACTAATTGGCCCTGGGTGGGTGATGTAGTCAGCATCATGTTGGCGGCCTTGACATCCCAGGACTGTTCTGGTACTCGCAAGGCTGGGTCGACCTGACAGCCAAGGTTATTTTTTTTTTAAAGTTCAGCTTCACCAGGACCTGAACCGCAGGCGAGGAGCGTCTAGCCACTACACCACAGCGGCTCTCAACAGACAGTAGTAGAGACAGACAAAGAGGCAGACAGAGAGATAGAAAATACAGACATAAAGAAGCTGAGAAGCAGAAAGTGGTAGACACAAGGACAGAAAGAGGTAGAAGAGTGGAATTATAGAACTCCATAAAGAAGTAAAGAAACAGCAAGTCAGGCACAGGAAAAGAGACAGACAGAAAGAAGCAAAAAGACAGGGATGCAGACGCAATGAGTTAGAAAGACAGAAACAAGGTAGCAGAGAGACAGACAGAGGTAGACAGAATAACAAAAAAGTAGAGAACAGAGAAGAATCAACAGGCCAGTGGAAAAGGTTGTGACACAACTATAAATGGTAATCTAATTAATTCTATCATATGTATCTGTCTTATAGACTATAGAATCCCTGCTCCATCTTCTGGTCATGTCTTTACATCAGTGGTTCTCAAATTTCCTAATGCCACGACCCTTTAATACATTTCCTCACGTTGTGGTGTCCCCAACCTTAAAATTATTTTCAAAGCTACTTCACAGCTTCAGTGAATATGTGTTTTCAGACAGTCTTAGGCTATGCCTGTGAAAGGGTCATCTTAACCCTCCCCCCCCCCCCCCCCCGAAGGTCACAGCCCACAGGTTGAGAACCGCTGCTTTACCTGATGTCTACTGAGTCCAAGTTGCCTGAAAACTGGCGTTCTCCTGGTTCGCCATGATTTCTACACTCAACAAATACATTGGTCATAATATACTCCAATATTTTTTCCTTTGCCTTTCTATTTAAACTGCTGAAAATGTTTATTGGGTCATTGTTTTTAGGTTGTACATTTCTTCCATATCATCAGAATGATGTAATCAGTTCTTTTATTTACTGGCATGCCTTAGTCTCCTGTTTTTTTTTTAGGTTGTTTTTTTTTTTTTAGACGTTTAAAAACTCACCACCCTTGCGTGTAACTGAGGCTCATAAAGTGTGAAACATTTAATACTGTAATCTACCAAATGTGTCATAAGAGGCAACTCAGGAAGGCTGGCATGAGAGTTGGAGGTGACTTGAATTACCTCTAGCAAGAGCCGAGTTAACCTGGGAGCTAGCAGTCTCAGTGTGCATCTTGTGGAAATAGACTTGGTTTTAATATTAAGGTCAGAGCCATTGTCTAAGCTAGCATGTCTCAGACCAACCTTCCTTGGTCACCTCTTATGACATACTTAGTAAGTTTAAATTTTACTATTTTCTGCTCACTTTATGAGTCCCAGTAAAGGTTTAGCTACTCCTAACTAAAGACTATGTTACATATACTTGTTAATGGGAGTGTACGTGGGCAGGTTTTGGTATCTCAAAGTGTTTCTATTTCTTCCTAAATTGGTAATGAATCCAGCATTGTTCAAATTAGTTACTTAGTTACCAGATCATCCTCACTGTGTATCAAAACATTCAGTCCATAAGTGTTCAGATCTCTTTTTTTCCTATATCAGATATATAATTTTTTGTTATTGTTGTATAGTGCTCTTGTCTGGTCTCATCCCCTTTCTGTTGCTGTTCTGACATGGTTGTACATTCACAGTCACCAACCAATTAATGCAAATGTCTTACATCTCAAACAGCATTCAGTACATCAGCCTAGCATTGTGCTCACCCGCTGAATACTCATGGCTGAAAATAGCAGCCAGTGGTGTGTCAGTCGTAGCTGCAGTACTTTCATGTCAAGAATGGACAATTACTCAAATCAGAAATACCTCAAAGCTAGTGTCAACTAACAGCAATCTATTATTATCTGAAGCTTACTAACTCCCTTTACCTGCTGGTCGGTGAGACCCCTGATGTCGGAGATGGGTGGCTATGACTAAGCTGCTGCCCTCTCTGATCCTCCTCCCCTGCCCTCTGTATACTCTCCTGGACTAGGTTGAACAGCTCCTCAGCATGGGAACATTTGAAAGCATATATCCCAGGGCCCATTGCACATCTCCTCCCACTCTCAAAAGAAAACAGCTCTGCATCAAATCCATAGCGACGTAAACGTCTCAATGGCCATCTGTAAAATAAAAGACAAAAATTAAACTGGAATACCCCCAAAGCTACTCTGCATTATCAGCCATGTGAGATAACTGTACAGAATATGCTGACTAGCCATCTGCTTCCACACATTTCAGCAACATGTTGGCATGAAAGGCTTCCCAAGCATTTATTTAAATTGTTTCTTTTTACAAGTGACCTGAATTACCACGCTGACTCAGCATAAGATGGGTACCAGGAAATGTTCTGGGAAGTAAATATGACTGGCATGATACTGACCACATCACCCATCCAATGCAGATTGATTTACAAAAACATGTACTAGAGCCTTATTTACTATGGCTCCCTGTGTGGGTTCCAGGGCTCTATTTTGGTGGTGGTGGTAGTGGTGGTGGAGGGGCCACACTAAGCATGTCATAAAAGGCGACTAATTAGGATTATTTCCTTCAAAGTCAGACTGCATCTGCCTGAAGGGCAAGGATCCAAAAGTCTGCATACAAATAATCCTGATCTGTAAAATGGATGTACATGCAAAACTCAAGTTCTGGGATAGGCAAGAACTGGAAGAACAACCATAACTTTCCACCAGAGTTTACAGCTGGTGAATGAGAAGAAATAAATTTCCTATGGCGACAACTGGGTCAAAACTTGGAAATTTAACTAAATCAGCAACAACAACAAAACCCACATATACACCTTTTAATATAAATGTTTTAAAAGAGTTCTAATTTCTTCTTAGTGTCACTAGGTGTAAACATCATTTATATTGCATCCTACAAAGCTTATTCCTGCTTTCTCTTTAATTTCCCTTAAAATTACTTCACTATGCAGACACAAAAAAGGTCTGGGGATAAGACACATCCCTGTCTTTCCCCTTGCTTTATCTGTTCAAAAGTACCCAATCTGTTTCCCAAGGTGTAAACACCAGTGGAAAATTTTGGTTACACATCCACTTATTGACTCTTAGTCTTGTTCCACAAAATGAATTTTGTATGCAAATAAATGTTTCAGATCTGGCTTATTTGTGTGCAGACTATTGGTTCCTCACCTCTCAGCCAGATGCATTCTAAGTTCAAAGAAAACACACTTAATTAGTCACCTTTTATTATGTGCTTGTTCGGGTGGAAGTGGGTGAATTCTTTTTCCCCCAAATGGGATGAGAGTTCTAACAATTCATCAGAGAGAAAAGAATACAAACATGTCTTTCTGAAAGCTCAACACTGTAAGCATATATCTTATTAATATAAATAAACTATAGGGAAAGTAGCATGTAAACATGTCAGAAAGACTCACAGGTCTGGAAAAGATTATGAGAAGACCATATCACAGATCAGAGCTATTCAACTAAGTTTGCTCAGGGGCTGATGGTTTGGAAATGGGGACCGAGCCTCTGCCTATAAAGATAATTATTACAATAAGATTGGCAATGATCCTCTGGCCATGTGCTAGGTGGCCAACAGGCAGCTAATTGAATAGCTCCGCCAAAGATGGATTCAGGATTTGATTGATGATCTTTTTCTTCTGCATTCTGAGCCCTTGAGGTTCACTGCTGCAGATAGTACCCATTCACCTGTTATTGGTCCTCTCTTTATTTCTAGTTTGTGTCTTTACGTGTTTGTAGGTCTGCCCATAAATTTGTGTCTCTCTGTTATCTGCTATTCTTTTTATATGCTTAAACCGCTGCAGTCTAAAAGCCTTTATGATGCTAGTAATTAGTGGTCGTTCAAACAGATTAGGAATGTTGTCCTGAGGCTCATTTTAGACAAAAATGTCAACACTGTTATGCAGGCAAAGTTCTGTAAATTAAATGGTAAACTACCAAATAGAGATGAATTATGAAGACAATGTTTATGAAAGAATTATCTTCAGCCTCTACAAATAAAATGAAATCAACAAAACAATTACCTTATTGGTTCCTTTCCCTTTTGAAACAGGACCAGATCATTCTCTCTTATTTCTATGTTGCCCCGGTTAAGCTCCATTCCCTGGTCATCCACATTGTGCACTCGAAATGAGCGAACACCCCCACTGTTTCTTCTTCTATGTCCTGAATATGCACAGCCCATTTCAGTAATGCATGTTATTCACACAGCTCGTGTCTCTTAGTATTATCTCAATGAGTCTTTCGCATCAGCATTTCAGTTTGCTGGTTGATAACATCCATCAGGTAGCTATTTTTAGCAAAATGCAAATCTGTAAACAAATAACTTGATTAACTTCAATGCTTTCAATTTCTTTTTCAAGAAACATTCTAAAATATGCTTAAAATCTGGTCTATATGGTTAGAGTAATTAGAAACATATGTTAACAGCCTTAATAGTTCCCAACAATTAGTATTTTCCTCAACAACTGAAGTTAAACAGACAATTATTCCCCAAAAAATTATCTACTTCTGATTAATCGCAGACGTGAATTAGAATTACATCTGTTGGTTTTCAATCTGTCAGCTCTGCAGGGCAGGGTAAATGTTTTCTCAATTGAAAAACCACTGTTTGTCATAACAATATATGCAAGTTAGTCTCAAGAAACTCTAAGGTGTGCTGGGTTTAAATTTGTCAGCTCTGCAGATTTTGTTTTTCCTACACAAAAACCACTACTTCATACTTGTCATTAAAGTATATTTTCTTTTAAGCATCCAGAAACCATGAGTTAACCCTTTGGCTAGGCACTATGGATATCACAATCCTTCAGCCTTGATTCCATTACAGATACTGTAAATCTGGGAGAAATGTGGCTTTTCTGCCTTCCCCTGGGCGTGAACCCGACATAAAAGTATATATAAGTCTAGTCTCAATGAAGTCAATGATGGTCAGACACACTGATATTGTAATGAGCCAGATGTAATGTAATTAAGTAAGTAAAAGACATTTTCACGCCATGCCCTTTGTTATTTGATTTTGTTTTAAATGATAAATCTACTGCTAATTTAATCTAATTAATTAAACTTAACTCTCCTCTCCTATTTACTTTTAGTGATTCTTTTAACATAGCTTTACTTTTCATTTACAATGTGTTCAATCACAAACGTGTGGGAGTCCCAGTTGAGACAAAACTTTGTTGCGCTTTCTGACTGTGTGTTGTGTCTAGCAGCTGCTTGCAGTAGTCATTCAAGGGTAGGACAGTGTAGGGTAGGAATTGAGAAGACTCGACAAACTTGGTTATAACAACAAAGCAAGTTGTTAGCAACAAATAAGATCTTACGTCCTTTGTTCAAATCTAAACGACCATTCTCAACGCATTAACCTTCTATACGCACCAGAACGCCACAGTTAGCAACTCCCAACAGTTATCATAGAATGGGAAAACTTGTAAGTAATAACAACACAACATAAGAATGCTGCAGAAATGAGTCTAGAGTGTAAAGACGTCTGCAGCCAGAAAGCATAAACTTCCGGCGCCCTGCTCGACTGCTAGCAGAAACGTCATCTGGCCAGGTAACTCTCTGCAACCGTTGTCAACTTGGATTATCGGTCAACACTATCGCTATTGCTCCCCGTGTGGGTTCCAGTGCCTATTTAGGTGGTGGTGGGGGGGGGGGGGCGCCGGGGTGTCCCACTACCTCGTAACAATCACAGTTGGTCAAAGTCTCTGAGCAATAGTCCGACTTGTGTTGGGTTCTACTCACATAAGGTCGTGACTGTTCAGCAGGCGCTGCGCAATCAGAAGTTCAACAAATGATTCATGAGAATTCCCGCCCAGGTGATGCGAATGTATACAGATGTCTATGTGGTGAGAGGCAGACGACGTTCATGGGAATTCCTATTAAATGGAAGTCCCTTAATTTAAAGAAAAAATCGTCCTTTTGTTATTTTCTATAGCATATGCGGCTGTGTTGGGAAATGAACAACAGATAGATAGAATGGTTGGCTCTGCACTACTTACTGGTAAATTAATGCCTGACAAGCCAGATGGGGTGAGGGTTATTTGGAACGAGTGAACAATGCGGAGATACAAATAGATCATTATGGTCCGAGGAGAACGGTGCTACGAGGAGATACCAAGGGATCTGGCCGACGCGCAACAACACTGGGGAAAGGTGAGACGGATATACAATCAGTCTGTAACTGGTACCTTTGGAATTAGAACTGCGCTTGCTGCTGAAGCTGGGGATTGAGCGCACACGGGAATGTCCGAACTGAGCACTTACGGGAATGTCCCAGGTGCTGTGATTTCGATTCTTGGTTCAACATTCAATCCCCTAACAAAAATGTCATTCATAGCGACTAATTAGGGGTGTTTCTTACGAAGTCGGAGTGCATCTGTCTTATGGTGGGGAACCACAGTCTGTACATAAATAAGCTGGATCTGTAAAATATATGTGCGCGCAAACCCTACAGTTTCTAGAACAAGACCAAAGTCCAGAAGTGGACGAACAACAAGAACTTTTCGCGGAAGTTTACAGCTGGTGAACGTTAAAAAGAAGGGCCAGGCAATAGGAAGTCAGTGGTCTGAAAGAAGAATATCCTGTAGCATGAAAGCTGACACAAAGAAAACAGGAGGTGGCTCGGTCCCTTTACACATTTTCTTCGGGTTGGTAGTGGGCACTAAGGGAGTATTGGACGTGTTATGCCGTTAAGTGACGTGGGGAGGAACAGTTTGCGAACCATTGCTTAATGGACAGCAATGGCTGCTGACATGCCAAGTGGACGTAGAAGTTCTTTAATATCAACAATCCATCTTCTCACAGAGTGAACGCATGCTTTCACTTAAGATCTTTTCGTGCACAGCGCCTGCGTTGGTAGTTGTTCTGGCTCCATTACTACTAGATAACTAATCTATTTGATCTTCTGTTTATCAATGAATTCGCTGCATGATGAATTATGTTTTCCCGGTCTTTACAGCGCTGATAGAATTGCATTTTTCCTTTACCCTTCTCCATAATTCTCGAGCAATACCAGTTGAACCAATTTCGGGCATTCACGTTGTGTTATGGAATTTTTAAGCAGTCAGCGACTTTTGTCCCACGGTCCGAAAGCAGCAAGAGTGGTCTTTTTTTTTAAACAGCCTGCCCTGGATGACATATTCTAGTACTTTAAGAAAAAGAGTCCCTAAAAACATTACCAAATTCCACAGAGGTAAACCTTTCACGTAAGTCAACATCTATGCCTACAGTTATAAGGTAGACAAAGAGAAGTGCGTCAACGGGTGGTGAATTTGTGCGTGACAAGCTAAATGTGGCCCAAGGCCTTTGAGAGCAAGTGAACAATTCGTAGGCATCAACAGATCATTTTGATCTGGACATAACTGTACAGCTAAGAGTGACTAGAGGATCTAAAGTACTTTTTCTGTCGATAAGTAAAGTTGTGGTTAAATTTGAGTGAAATTTTTAAGGTGGACAATTTGGTCTGTATAGTAGTAACTGTTAGCCTGATCAAGTAAGTACTTATATTATTTATAGAGAATGCGTTCTTTTTTTGTGTGTGATCATTAAATTTTTAATTCTTTGGGGATTACCTTGCCCAAATTAAATTTAAAGATATTGCTAGCGAGAATATTAAAAAAATGCGTTTATAAATGACATCGAGCGAAGGGCTGATGACTGAAAGGCGAACTCGGTTGAATTCGTTCGTGCCATCACATTTAAGACAACTGAACATTATATTTGCAGTTTTTTCTCTCCCCCCAAGTATTCAAACCGTTTTAATGGTAGAGGTGCGTGTATTTTTGTGTTAGCTTGACCAGGGTGCCGCGGCGACAAAAGTTTGAGAACCACTGCTGTACATAATATTGCAATAACCAACCCCAGCATTTGTTGTTGGCTGTTTGCGATTTCACTAGACAATTTTATGTTCAGCAGTTTGTCGTTGTCGTCTGTGCGGTGACTTCTCGATACTACTGTTGAAACCAATGCAAGGCGGTTTGTTGCCAAACCACCTGCATCTGGGACCGAGCCTGTCAACACGGAATGTCGAATCGTAGTTGCTTAATAAGCCACAGACGCCAATAAAAAAATGTAAATCTCCACCCCCCCCCCCCCCCAATTTTTAGAAAAAAATAAGTGTAGCATGACTTCCTCTGCATTCAGCCTAAACATAAAATGTCTGAAATGCATGATTAGTTGCCTTTTAGGACATGCATGCTTGTTAGGGAGCAGTGGGTTTACCCCCCCCCCCCCCTCTCCCCAATGGGGACCCGAAACCCAAAAGATTAGATTAGAGACGTGCCAGTTCTGTGTTATAACAAGTCCTCTGATATGCGTCTCATTTTTTGCTTTGGCGATCTTAACTCCCAAGTTTTCATTATGGCGAGTGATGTGGATTTACTGCCACCAAATTCCTCCATCCTTCCCATTTTTCGGAGGACATTATCATCAGCATGATCCACAGGTTGACAGGTAGTGATAGCGGATCCAGCCATCTTTATTTCCATCGACGCCTGCGTGTCCCAGAAGGGAAATAAAGGAGACTCTCATTACATGCCAGTTCACGGTGTTGCACAGTCAAATGCAGTATATACCACCGCGAGAATTGATGTACAGATTAGACTGGAAGTGAAGAAAAGGTTGAGCATGCAAGCCATGGGCAGAGGGAATAACAGATTTCCTGGAAATCCCCAATTTACAAAGTGCACTTTCCTGTTAATTATACACTTACATCGACACCGCACGGTACCAAGGACCTAGATGAGATGGTGAATGAAAGTGAATTTTAATACTAGTTTTAAAAAAAAAATTATGTTTTCTGTTCTTGCTGTGAATCACAATGCTGGCGAGTCGTCTAATCCTGACAGCCCAAAGCCATTCTTATGAAGACATAAATCTTGTGCAGCTTTTGAGTAACTAGCTGGTTGTGAATCCTTGAGATAGCCTGTACAGGAAGTCACCAACAAACCCCAGCATATATGGTTTCTATAGACAATTTCACCATAAGTTGTTTGCCAAATTGTTTACTGCATGGCCAATGCTCATTCCGTTTTCGTTATCAATGAATAGCCATCTGATGGTAAACTGTCTGCAACATAATTCAATCTGAGATTATGGAATTATGAAAATGAGTTCAGAGTCTCTCAGCCACAGATGTTTAAAGGCAGAGTTGAGATTCAGGATTCTTTTTTCTTTTCCTTTTGTCGTCTCACTGATACCAGGTTGTTGTCCAGTGTTGTGGTTTTCTGTATTTATCTAGCGCTTCTCGGGTGGCTTGGGTGATGGGTTTGTTCATACTTTTGCAGGTTTCTGCTACACTAGTTATCCGTCTCTTTCTTGGTCTTCCTCTCGCCTTCCTCCCAGATGTTCTCCTGTAAAGTCTCATATGCAGTTTGGTCTGGCTTCATTTTCACTAGATGGCCAAACCATTTCATTCTTTGTCTGTCAATATAATCAGGCATTTTCAGAAGCCTATTATACACCAGGTATTATTTGGGATATGTCAGCTCTGTGGCTAAGTCGATGTGAACGCTTTGTTATGCCGAGTTCGATTCCAGCTGCGGGCCATGCACCTTGCGCTGGTTTTAACAGTGATATCAAGAAATCCAACCGTCCAGAAAGCAATGGTTAACTACTGGACGTAAATTTGCCTAGAAAAACCACACAACAGCCCGGGGCTGTTGGGGTTGGTTCTGCAACGTCCTGTAAAGGATAGGCAACTAACCTGATTATTTGGGATTAACTGTGTTAAATGATACTGTTGCATCAGCACAGGCTTATATGGCAAACCAAATTATCTGGTAAAATATGATGTGTTGGGACAAACATCACAGATACTGCAGCCTAACTGTAAACCACAAGGTGCCAACTGCCCTTTTAAGGATAAATGCAAAAGAAACAGAAAAACATAGTATATTCTGCTCTGAATAAAAATGTCCTTTCCCAAGAGGTCGAGAAGTTATTTGTCAAACAATGAAAATAAGTAACCCTGCACACCTTTTTCTATATTTAGGTCATCTTACTTTCATATTTAGTATTTTACCGACTGACTGTTTCAATCAGCAATGTTATTCTTGATAAACCTTGAACTACGAATGATAATTAGAAAAATATAATTTAATAATGACTTGTAAGGTATTTAAAATTATGTCTGTGTTATACTTTGGGACAATTTCTTGAGGCAGCAGAGACTTGATGATGATAGTTTTGAAGCCCCAGTGGTGTAGAGGCTAGACACTCACCTGTGGATCGGAAGGTCGTGGGTTCGGGTCCTGACATGCGCCCCCCCCCCCCCCCCCCCCAAAAAAAAAAAAAACTGTTTTCCAAAATGTCCTTGGCTGACTACCAGGTCGACCCAGCCTTGTGTGGGTATCAGGTATAGTCTGGGAAGCTGTCTACATCCCCCACAGAGTGACGTTTGGACAATAAAATATAAGTCAAGCCCTATATGATCAGTACACCTGAAAAGGGTCCTTTTGTTAATTAAGTATGTTATACTCAGTATGTTATATATAGACAGAGTATTGGACTAAAATATGTAAGCAGTTTATTAATTTGAAGTCATCTATTCTGAAGGATGGCTTCAATCAGTGAAGTTACTCTTGATAAAGCTTGAGCCACCAACGGAAAATAATGAGCAATCTGTAGCAAAGCCTGATCCAGCTTTTCCTGTGCTTCTAGCAGTATGGATGCAGGGACAGGGTTATCCTCTGCCCATGTTTTCATGGCCAGTTCCAAACAACTGATGATATAATAGCCACTCTCAAACAAATCTGGGTCAACAGCTACACCATGTAACTGAGATGCTTTCAGCTTTTGACAAAACATTTCCACTGATTCAACAAGAGAGTCTAGTATACAGCACAGTAAGGCAACTGTCTTTCCTTTCATGAAGATCAGCAGCATCTTCATCAGAACTTTTCTCTGACTGCAGTTCTAGAAAGAAGATAATAAATAACACAATAATGATACATCCAACTATGGAAAGCTTTAGCTTGGCATTATGAGTATATTTACAATATAAATTTTAACACACAGGGTCACAGATAACTAATGGCATCTTTCTGTATTTTCTTCTACTTCTTCTTTCGTTCGCTTGAAACAGATTATCTATATCTTCAATGTTGTCTCTAGTATGAACATCACTGTCTTTTGTAATTCACTCAGCGACCCGTAAAGTCTGACTTGCACAAATGTTTCTCTTGGTCAAAAGTTTTGCCTTGATATGTTGTATTTGGGACAGTCTTGGAGCATGATCTGTTGTCTCAGGTGCTAGTCCACATGTTCACATGGCTGATTCGCCGATTTTAAATTGCGTGTACATGTGGCTGCGAAGTCGACTGTGTCCTGTCTTTGAAGACGAAAGTGTTATATTGTGCTATGGGGAGGCACGGCACTCACAGTCCATGGAGATGGCGAGCATAAAAATGTAAATAAATAATATACATGGTATATAAACAATGATGGTTAAACCCTAACAGGCAACAACAGTTGATATTTTTTATGGTCAAATCTAGATGTACTATTAGAGAGGCTGGCTGAGTAGTTAGAATGATGAGCTCTCATGGAGGAGACCAGGGTTTAAATCTCTAATAAGGTGGAAGTTTTTTGTTGTTGTTGGAGGCAACAAATCAAATTTCCTATCTTGCAAGTTTGTATCAGTTACAATTGCCATGTTGCCCTAAATCCTCAGATTCAATACCCCCCCCCCCCCCAAGAGTTGTAAATCATCTTCTTCATCTTCACCTCCTCTTTTGCCATTGCTGGTATTCGGGGAGATCCTGTGTAAGGTTCTACTTGTTGCTCCTCTGGCCATCTCCACCAGACACAACATACTGTTGTAGAGTTTCTCCAATGTTATCTGTCCAGACAGTAACAAGCATATTACCATTTTCCATGTCTTCAGGCGTACTGGGTATATAGGGCTAGTCATATATTTTATAGAACTGGCACTGGGTGGGTGAGGTGATCAACATTTAAGGTCAGCTGACCACCTTTACTTCCCGGGACTTTACCTGGTACCTATTTAAGGTGGGGTCAACCTACGAGCCAAGGTAATTTTTGAAAACAGTCCAGCTCTCTCAGGACCTGAACCAACAACATACATATCCGCAAGTGCGTGTCTAGCCGCTACACCATGGCGGCTCTCAGTAAAGTAAAAGCAAAAGACCCTTTAAGAAAGAAGATGAGGAAATAACCAAAGTCTGCATATTTCTTGATCCGCACGAAATTATATTCTTTCTCATATGGACATTTAGCTTAATCAAAAGCATAATGAAAAATAACATTAACTCATGAACAAACCTATCATATTAATGTTTTTTTTTTTTCTGTCATCTCCCAATGGAGCATAGGGCCTCAACCAATTCACACCAAACCCTTTGCACTCAGAATTTCCTACGGGGTGAAATAACTAGTCTTACGCCAACTCTCCTAGGGCACTCTAAGGAGCGACACAGAGGCACCAGTGCTACTGTTTGCTTTCCTTATGAACCCTGCTAATAAATACGCTGTCCAGTATCTCACTAATGAGACACAGCCTCTACTGTTGATGGAGACTTTGTGACAGGCCTCCTATAAAGCTAAGTGATTTTTATGTTTCTTGTTTATAACTGTATCACTGTTCACACACTTATGAAGGCTTTCTGGTCAATGGATTAATGTTCCTGTTCAGTATTGTGTTGTGGTACAGTGGATTAATGTTCCTGTTCAGTATTGTGTTGTGGTACTAAGAAGTGAATAGTTTTAATTCTCATTGGAGTGACATTTTTTTTAAATAAAAAAAATAAAAATACACTGGAGATACAACTGATAAACATCAGAATTCCGGCACCCACCTGAAACTGCCCAGAACTTGCAGGCTGAACAAATTTGGTAATGATACATTCAACAAGTGAACACACTTCCTGCATAAACTCAGGCCGATCTGCTATCCAAGTCAGGCTGTCAGTTAGCATCATGACACTTTCAGCACCCTTGCACATGCATGACTCAGACAGTATCATGACCTCATGGTTAATTACATTCCGTAAAGTACTGATGTGGGTGCAAGCAGATTTCAGCAGACGATCAGTCTAAACAAAAAAAAAAAAAAGATAAACTTGATTAACAAAAGCAAATTGTATTGTTGTATACTGTAAGCTTAAAATTATTCAGAATGTCTAAAAATATTGCCTAACTGACTGCCTACATAAGTAGTCTTATTACTTCAAGGATATATTTACATTTAACAGACTTCTTAAAAAACATATTCCTGAATCAAGACTATTGCCGACCAACAAGGCAAAATTGACATCTCAGTTACTGCTTTACAATCCTGTTCCATTAGCAGCTAACTATCCTTGAAAAATTGCTTCATTCATAGTTTGTGTGTTCTTGGTCCCGAGGGATTAATATTTAGTATACATTTATTAAATTTTTTATTTAACTTTTTAATATATTTCTGCCCAGTTTTTGGACCCCTTTGTCTGTTTTCTATAATACAGCCCTCCATATTTTCTCCTATAACATATTTCTGGCTCAATGTTGAACTATGCAGTTGGTAAGCTCTGTTGTCTTAGCCACTTGAGCTCTCTAGTCACAATATTGAGAACTCCACTGATAAAGACTGGTAAAAAAATTTGGTTTATTTGTGTAAAACCTTTTTATGCTCTCCTTTGAGCGTTCTAATCAGTTGGTATTGTACTTAGGACTTGCTACCTGCCGTAAGCGATTATGATTCTCCATACTTTGTGATTTCAAACAGAATGTGTAAGCTTGTGTACTTACACTTATAAGCACTTCTTCTTCTTCTTTGCGTTCGGTTTCGTATGCTCAGATCAGACCATCAGGTGGGTTGCCTCTATGAACTCGCATGTCAGCAGCAGGTTCTGTATCGTTCCCCATAGCTTGCTCTGCACACTTTGCTCTTGAAGCCATGTGCTTTTCAAAGTTGTAGGTAGAGTGGGCAGGTCTGCAGAATGTGCTCAGGTGTTTGTGGTCCTGTTTGACAGGCACACTGTGGGAACTGTACAGTCTTTATTTTATGCATGTTGCTTTCTACTGAGTCTGCTGATGGGGTCTTGTGAATGTTTACTGTTTGGTGTCTCCACAATTCCTTGTATTTTCCCTTGATAAGTGTTTTGATTTCTGATAATGACAATGAATGGGCGTGTTGTTTTTCCATTGTTCCATTTTTTACAAGTCTGTCTGCTAACTCATTTCTTGGTATGCCGAAGGATCCAGAATCCACTGGAGAACAATCCGACTGTTTTCTGAGAGTGTTTAGCTGGCGGGACAGTTCTCTCTCCATGTTGTCTCGTGGATCCCTCTGAGTCTCCTGGAGGACGGACATGCAGTCACAAAGGAAAACAATTTTGCTGTTTTTAATTTTTCTTTTCTCAAGCACTTTAGCTGCATCAATAACTGCTTGCTGCTCTGCTCTGCAGTTTGCTGAGAGTCTTCTGGAGGTTTCTACTGTTGTCCCATCTTGCAGCATGATGACCGATCCAGCTCCTCTGGGTTTTTTCTGCTCCCTTCAATGATCTATCGGTGTAAACGTGTGTCCCTTCGGGTTTTGGATAAGAGTTGTAGACATGTTTAAGGGTCTTTGCATGCAGTACTAGGTCACATACTTCAGTCTTTCTTTCTATGCCTAGGATTGAGGGGAATGTATAGTTAGACTGTAGGTCTGAGCTGTATGTCTAGATCATTTCCCATATTGAATGATCTTTAGAAAGGATGACATTTTTTTTTTTTTTTGCCTCAGAGAATGTATTATATGTTTGTGTGTCTGGCTTTATCCATGTCATCTTCTCTTCCTCTTTTCCCTACAAGTGAAAGACTTTGTTGAAAGCACACTATTTGTCTATCCCTCTATTCATTGAAAAAAAATTAGCTTTAGAAGTTTTGGGACAATGGCAGGTGAGTCACACTGTGGAAGAGACTGGGATCTCTCTACATTCTTCTTCTTCTTCACTTCCTCAAGTTACTTCACCAAAATGTTGGGAAATGTAAGGATTTTCTGTGTGCTCTTTCCTACGCATTGTATAAGCTGGTATTCATTTCTTTAAGGCTGTTCTTGAAATCTCATCCCATTTTCTGCATGGTCTTCCTCTTGCTCTATGTCCATTACATTCCTACAGACAGCATTAGGTTTACTGTAGCCATCCTTCATTGTGGAGACAGCACACAATTTTCAGTCATAATAAAACAGCCAAGCTATATATTAGTTTGAGCACTAGCTTATCAAGACAGTAGTGGTCTTTGTTTAATCCCCACCTTTGGCATGATTCTTTTTTTTTTCTCCAGCTAGTGTAAATCTAGTGTCAATCCTGCTTCATAAAATGTCTGATGGATAATTTTCTGGGAACTGTTTTTAAGACAGACTTTAAAGTAAAATCATTAAACATTAACAAAGACAACATGTTACCTCCTGTCCTGGTTTCTGGTTAGTTAGTCCTTGTAACTCGATCATACTGTGCATAAATCTGTAATTCTCCAATATATGCACCTCTCTGAAATCATCAACTTCAGGGGGAGCTAGCTGTAATAAACAGTGTTTTATGCATCCCTCTCTTATATCTATGAGATGTTATTTTATTAAATTAACATTATTACACAACTATGTGAGGACAGAGATTTGACAAGTTGACACAGCCTAAAAGGGTGTCAGGATATGTCCTGGAAAGTCAAGGCAGCTGGCATGAGACATTACCTGTCAAGAATCAGTTTAGTAAAGTACCCCTTTCCATGCCGTCAGGTCTATTAGGCATACAGGGCTAGACCTACACAGACCAATCAGCACTGGGTGGGTGATGTGGTCAGCATCATGCTGGCCACCTTTATTTCCCAGGACTGTACCTGGTACCCACTCAAGGTTGGGTTGACCTAAGAGCCAGGGTCATTTTGGAGAGAAAAAAGTCCAGCTCCATCAGGACCTAAACCCACAACCTTCCAATCCGCAGGCAAGTGTCTAGCTGCTACACTGGCAGCAAATTCATTAGAATGATTAACAATTTTGCCCTAGTAACTGCAAACCTTAACAGCATCCTGTCTCGAAAGCTGAAATATTTTTGTCATATCAAGCGCCACGACGGATTGGAAAAAATTATAGCAGAAGGCATGGTACCAGGAAGGAGGGGCAGGGGCCGACCGACATGAAGATGGGCACAGGATATAAGTGACTCCTTGAATGTGAAAGTACATGAGGCGTGAGAACTGGCGAGAGACCGAGTTTCTTGCAGGCAGACTGTGATGAGAGCAACGCTCTGCAAAGGACCTGCTACATGATGATGAACTGCAAACCGGACACTTCCAGTAGGTTACAATTCCCTGAGAGTGCCACTTAACCAGCATTTATAAAAATTCATTAACTGTTTTTATCTATTTACTTCTTTCTATGAGTGCTAATCAATACAATTTCTGTTACTTGATTAATTCATAATATTTAACTGCCTCAAAGGTTCCCCCTCTGTTTATTTATGGAATTATAAAGGTAGACTAGTATTTTTAGAAACCAATCAGCACTCGAGGAGTGATGTGGTGAAAATTAGGCCAGCCACCTTTACTTCCCAGACTTTTCTACCCATACTCACCTCTAATTCTCATTATCATGTGGTTCAGGACACCCTCTATCTCTTTCCGCTATGGGTTCCAAATAAAATTACTTATTATAGTCTATGCCGTGTGGCATTGGTAGTCATGTATATCCACAACCTTCTGTCTTGTGGACTTTCAATTAATTCTGACAAAGAGTTATTTACAAACCAAAAAAAAACACTAATGACCAAGCTAGTTTTTACTAAATTATTAATGACAAAACTCTTACTGAAGTATCATCACAATTAGCTGTGTTTTTAGACTTTAAAACTGGGTTTAATATGTCTTCTGCAGTATTGTTGCATATTTCTCCTCTGGCCTGGGGATGTCTGGAAGTAATATTTGTAGTTGCTGGTTGGGGCGATTTCAAACAAACATCTGTTTCACTTGGATGAACTGTTCCACTTGGGTGACTCTCAGATACAACAGCATGATCTGGGGAGGAAGGGCAACCTATATGATACTGTTTTGTTCTCTGTGGTGCCATACTAGTCATCAATATCATGGACAATGCACCATATCCTCATACAGCTTAACGGACTGCAAGCAAGGTTATTATTTTTTTTTTAAATCAGGCCATGCGTATATCTGGTCTTTAAACTCTTTCAGCCCTAAAGAAGGCACCATGTGTATAACTGGTCTTTAACTCTTTCAGCCCTAAAGAAGGCACCATGTGTATATCTGGTCTTTAACTCTTTCAGCCCTAAAGAAAGCACCATATGTATATCTGGTCTTTAACTCTTTCAGCCCTAAAGAAGGCACCATGTGTATATCTGGTCTTTAACTCTTTCAGCCCTAAAGAAGGCACCATGTGTACTGGATTACTCATGTGCACCAGTCAACATGTTTTGTATATTTGTTCATGTTATGTTTATTCAGGCAAACTTCATCAATCCAACAATACAGGACACCTACAATATGCTGTGTGTTTGGACCATGTGGATGTCATATACTTATGCTTTTCTTGTCATTATTATTGCTTCAATCAGGCATCAGCTATGGTGTTCTGAGACTGACAGAGTTAAAGCAAAGTAGAAGGTCAAAGATCTCCACCACTGTCAGTTCCTAACCCTGGATAAGAAAAGAGGATGGTTGGGAATGGGGCCAGCTACCCCATCATGTAAAAAAATAACTCTGCTACTGTAACTTACTGGAAAGGAAGCCAAGTTATATTTAAGTCATAAGTGAACTATATTTGGCAAATCCTGAGAAGAAATAAGCAAATAATCAATAAATAGGCAATGAAAGGGAGAACAAATAGTTTGATGAATTGAAGATATCCACGTGAAAACCTAAAATGAATGTTGATGGGAGAGGCCATAGACCTGGACTGGATTGCATCAATGATATTGAATTGCACCACACAGAAAGGTACAGAGGAATAGACTGCAAGCTCTAAGTGACATTCAATGGCACAATTTGATGATGATGATGATAAAAAGGGGAAAGACCCCTTCCATGCCTCGAAATATAGGATACAGAGTGTCAGCCATGTTTTATTTTAAAGGGTCATCCACAATACCATGGATGATGTGGTCAATTTCACACCTTCTGCCTTTACTTCCCAAAAATGTATGGTGCCCACTTTGGCCTGGGTCGACTGGGAGCCGAGATCAAGTTTAAGAAAGCTATCTGTCTCAACACAAAACTAAACACATAATCACTGGGTTGTCGTGGCTCTCTTTACATTATATAGTATCCAGTTAATTATTCTGAAGATGTGATATGAAGTGTCTTAACATGTCATTCTTCAATTTCACATGTGTGATCTGGTCATAAATGTGTTTGTGTCAACTGGTGGATTGTGATCTTCACCTCTGACATACATTTCAGATCTATAACTCTTTCATAAACAATCTTGGCATATTGGTGGACTGTGAACTCCACTTTTAACATCAATTAAAGATCTGTGACCTGATTCATCAACTTATTTTCAGGCAACTGTGTTTGTGACCTTCATCTTTCACATCAGCTTCAGATCTGTGCATTTTCCTCAACCCACAATTCATGAGAAAATTCTGAGGAATATCTTGGAACCATGTCTGAGGCTCGGCTTATCCATTACCTGTATTTCAGAAGAAAAAAATTATCCTCCCTTGTTAGGACTGATTCTATGATGGCTATCTTGTCAGGTTATTGCAATAATCGTTAGGCTACTGTGGTTTTTAGTAAAATATCTGTCTTTTTCTTCTTAGCATTGGCTGGTTGTAAACTTCTGTGGAAAGTTTTGATTGTTCGTCCACTCCTTAACTTTGGTGTTGATCCAGGACTTAAGATTTGCATGCACATCTATTTTACAGATATCTGGCTTACTTATATGCAGACTGCTGGTTCCTTGCTTCTTAGGTAAATGGACTTTGACGGAAACACTCCTAATTAGTCACCTCCCATGTTTGTTAGGCGGCCAGTTACTCTATGCTTTGTTCTCCAGAATGCACTCCTGTAACTGACACAAGGAAATTATCTTTAAAATAAAAATAATAAACACAGCATGTTACGATGACTACTTGGTAACGCAGCTGAAATTCTGTCAGACATGCTGTTAAGAATACGTAGCAACATAAAAAAACCTGCAGAAGTGTTTTTGTCTTGCAAAAATACAGTCTTGTCAAACTGTTGCTGCTGCGACTGTGGCATCTGCGTCTTTTTCTGGTGGTTCTGGTCTTGCAGACGTGAACAAGATGACAAATACTGGGCCTGTATCATCTCTGTGTATTTTCGAGCAGACAGTTCTGGAGGTTTCATCCGAAGGATTGCAAATGCAACAGCAAGTTTTAACTGAGGAATGTTGTAGTCTGGAATATAAACAATTACTGAAGTGGATTTCAATCTGTAACATTACTAGAGTTCAACAATGAAACAAATGCTTAACAATTACCACTTCAAAACAGTAGCTTGTTACATAGAATAATAGTAGATGCAGCAGTATTAGTAATTTTGGTAGTGGTGGTGATAGTAGTAGAATTAATAGTAATAATGTAATAGGAGTAGCAGAAGTTGTAGTGGTGTCTCAGTAATAGTAGTGGTATCCGTATTTTTAGTAGTAGTAGTGGTGTAGAAAAAACAGTAGTAGTAGTATCCATATTTCTAGTAGTAGCTGTAGTGGTGTTGGAACAGCAGTAGTAGTAGTATCAGTATTTCTAGTAGTAGTAGTGGTGGTGCTGTAGAAGCAGCAGTAGTAGTATCCATATTTCTAGAAGTAGCGGTAGTGGTGTTGGAGCAGCAGTAGTAGTAGTATCAGTATTTTTAGTTGTAGTGGTGGTGGTGGTGTAGTAGGAGCAGCAGTAGTAGTAGTATCAGTATTTCTAGTAGTAGTAGTATCAGTATTTCTAGTACAAGTAGTGGCGGTGGTGTAGTAGAAGCAGCAGTAGTAGTAATATCAGTATTTCAGTAGTAGTAGTAGTGGTGGTGATGTAGTGGAACCAGCAGTAGTAGTCGTATCAGTATTTCTAGTAGTAGTAGTAGTAACAATAGTAGTGGTGTAGTAGCATCAATATTTCTAGTAGTAGTGGTGGTGGTGTAGTAGAAGCAGCAGTAGTAGTAGTATCAGTATTTCTATTAGTAGCAGTAGTAGTATCAGTATTTCTAGTTGTAGTAGCATCTGTATTTCTAGTAGTAGCAGAAGTAGTATCAGTATTTCTAGTTGTAGTAGCATCTGTATTTCTAGTAGTAGTATTATTTCTAGTAGTAGCAGCATCAGTATTTCTAGTAGTAGTAGTAGTATTTCTAGTAGTAGTAGTATTTCTAGTAGTAGTAGCATCAGTATTTCTAGTAGTAGTAGTAGTATTTCTAGTGGTAGTAGTATTTCTAGTAGTAGTAGCATCAGTATTTCTAGTAGCAGTGGTGGTGGTGGTGGTGTAGTAGAAGCAGCAGTAGTAGTAGCATCAGTATTTCTAGTAGCAGTGGTGGTGGTAGTGTAGTAGAAGCAGCAGTAGTAGTAGCATCAGTATTTCTAGTAGCAGCAGTAGTAATATCAGGATTTCTAGTAGTATCAGTATGGCTCTCCTCCGAACTTCTACCTGATATTATGGCGGCCAAGCAAGTAGCCTAACAGGGCCTCAGTCATTGTGTAAATTGCTGACTTTCTGCCACGGAACAAATCGCGGCAAAACTAAACTAGGATCGGCTTCCGAATAACGAAACCAATGCTCTAACAGGGTCTCAGCGATATGTTAATTGGGGACCTGTTTCTGCGACTATGCCACAACGCCGACAGTATCCCATGCTCCGCTACGCGTAGCGCGGATGGGTGGCTAAACTAGATGGCTGGGACTTACGAGCAGCAGGTACCGCATCTCCTGCAACTTCCTCTAATTTATTTGCTCGCGAGTCCCAGGCATCTAGTTTAGATCCCCATTATTTCCTCGCTGCACACTGGGCATTCCCATTGTTGCTGATGTATGGAAGTTATTTCCTCACTGCACACTGGGCATTCCCATGCCTTGCTGATGTATGGAAGTTATTTCCTCACTGCACACTGGGCATTCCCATTGTTGCTGATGTGTAGTTATTTCCTCACTGCACACTGGGCATTCCCATTGTTGCTGATGTGTAGTTATTTCCTCACTACACACTGGGCATTCCCAATGTGTAGAGTTACTTCCTCACTGCACACTGGGCATTCCCATACGTTGCTGATGTGTAGAAGTTATTTCCTCACTGCACACTGGGCATTTCCATGCGTTGCTGGTGTATGGAAGCTTTTTCCTGGTCACTTTCCTCTCTACCGTTATCTTTAGCAAGGCATGATAATGTAAGCAGACTATATAGCCTGATCAGAGTTCCACTCAAGTGTTGAGCATTATCATTAGTTCATAGCCTGTCTACAGCTCAAGACAATAATTGTCACAATTTCATTTATAATTCAGTAATGAGCGATAACTCACACTGGGTATCCTGACATTCTGAATTCATTTATTGACTTCTGGTCATGGATCTAAACGAAATAACTTATTCCTGAGCTGTGACAAATAATAAAAATATCGAATATAAGATCAGAATACGAATTCAAATCTTATCCTGACAAAATAGTTTTGCTGGAAGCACTCTTCTTCGTCTGAAAATATATAGTTTCACAAGTAATTTCGTGAATTCGTTTTGTAAGATTGGTGAAGTTTGTAATATTATGATCCAAAGTGAGCAATTTGCGACCAATCATATTAACAAAAATTACGAAAATCAGTGTCTACATTTGGAAAGACACACTTAATATTGTCTTGTACAATTATTGTATAAAGTTCACTATGATTAAATTTGTGTGTGTGGTTCTTTGCACTGTTTGTTTTGTTCTTGTATTTTTTGTTGTTGCACTGAGCTTATGGTGCACGAATGATCAAAGAAATGACTGAAGCTCAGCTGAAAAATTACTGTTGAAGTCCTCTAAGTTAGCATCAGTTAGCTTTTGACAGCACTGAGAATATCTCTCAGTGTTAATAGATGATGCTGGAACATTACTTGGTACATCACGAAGAAAAAAATATATCTTTGTATATATCACTACTTCTTTTCATCGCAGTTTTAAGTTTTTGAACATTTGTGTAAAGGGTGCTGATATGAAATTTAGACCCATCTCTAGCATTCAGATAAACTTCTGACGTCTCTCCGACATTGTGTAGCTTCTTTCTGATACATTTGCAAGTTGTAGCTGCCTTGTATTCATCGTCTGGTAGCATTTCATTTGTAGCTGCTTCATACCTCTCGAATTCTTCTCATACCACTGGACACTTCTGGACACTCAGCTAAGTTATTTTGTGTATCCGTGTGGTTTTGTTTGATTTATGTATGTGCTGATGAAGGCTCCGTAGCCGCAACGTTCATGTTTTGTTTGTTTGTTATATTGTGAAGCTTGCTGATCTACTTTTCATTTTGTTTTAAATCTTTCCATGAAATTCTTATCTAGAAGTGCACAACTAGTCAGCTAACAGACCTGCAACTGTTTTTAATTGTATATCCTCATTTTGTAAAACTAAACTTATTCTATGACAATTCTGCAATATCTTATTCCCAAAATTCAACATGAAAACGAACTCTAGCTCTTGCCCTTTATCTGAAACGTTATTTGCTTCTCTTCTAGGGTCTCCTTTTATGACTGGTCTTCGGTTATGTATTCTACTGCTTCAAATATTTAAGGAAAGATATCAAAACTGCTGCTGTGGTTATATCATAGGCATCCCGCTATCATTTTTTATTACAACCCTTGAGAATTTTAACCGGCTGCTTGAGGTTTGAAAAAAATTTTATGTGGTACCCCCTTCCCTTCTCGATGTCCTAAGCACGTGCCTAATATGCTTAATGGTTAATCCACCTCTGTCTACAGTCCACTTTAAATGTACATAAATTCTGTTTAAAAGCGTTTGTTTATACATTTCATATCATTTCAAATGTTTTATATTTATTTACAATTCAGCACATTATTATTATTATTACGCTCTTAAACTATGATCAGGCTTCTTGGGGTTTGCATAGAAATAGATACGGTGGGAAAGGGGGGGGGTGGGGGGGGGGGTAAATCCACCTCCAATGTCTTCTGCTTTTGAAACCCTGGTCAGACTGAAGTAAACGTGTTGAATGTACCAGGCGGAGCATCGGGTGATCAGGGAATCGCAGTTCCAAATTTATAGCAAACGGGTCACCCCAAAGTTGCTCTGTTTCTGGGCCAACAAAACTATACACCTTATCATCGCTGTCCCTTAGTTAAAAATAAAAACAATACACAGAGTGTATGCACTCTTAAGCAATTCAACAGTGTACGCAAACAGTAAATACATACGGCAGCAGTCAGAAGTGCCAATACGAATAATCCGACACTAGAAATGCTGTTTATCGCAACAAGTTCTCTGGCAACAGGACATTTGCCTGAAATTTCTGAATCTGCAGTTCACAACATGAGCCACATGGATTGTTTTCCTCTTATACTGATACCCTCCCTGTTCGTGGTGGTGACTTACAGGACAGTGTCGACTTTGTTCTTACGCACGACTAACAGTCACTGGTCAAGAGATGGCTGTGTCATTGCTGGATGTCACCATGACTTGACCCTCTTTTGTTTATTGACAAGACCTGAGCAGGTCGAGCACGGCATACTCGTTGCCAATAAGATTATGCGTGTTTGCTAGTCAGATGTAACCAAGCAGTATAGACAACGATGGAAAAGTTCCTTAACAGAAGTCCTTAAATGGGCACCGCCTCAGGTCGGTTTTCATACGTTTTGTTTCTCAAACTTAAACCAGTCAGAAAGTCTACATTTTCTTTAACATCATCATCACGTGCCCTGCTGACTGGCGTAGGAGTTCATGCACTTCCACAGATCTCTGTCCCCTATTATCTGGATCAGTTCATCGATGATATCCCTCCATGCCACCGTAGCAGTCCATCTCTCTTGGTCTGCCTCTCCCTCTTCTACCGTTGATCTTCACAGTCGTTACAGCCTTCTCCACAGCCTCCCCGCTCATCACATGACCAAAGAACAGTGCTTCTCTTTTCCTTTTTAATGTATAGTAGGTCGGGGCAAAGACCCGCGTGGGGCAAAAACACGCAGTCCATTTAGATGTTCCGGTTGTTGTTTTTTGTGGCCGGCTTTAGCTTGGCCGACACTGGCTAGACGGTATCACGTGGGTTGCCATAATTCATCCAAGTCCTGCTGTCACCAGCCAAGAAAATGAGGTCAGTTGCTTTTTTCAACTTTTAATGTAATACTGTGACTCTTGTCAGTGCACGTTCACACAAAAAGTTTGCAATAAAGCTGTTACTTATCTTATTCATCAAAAAGTAACACATATTAACAGTAGAAATAGACGTGACCTGTTGAGGTTATTTAGTTTTTATTGGTTAAAAGTTACGAATGTTAAATTATGATAAAATGGGGCAAAAACCCGCAGCCTGGTGGGGCAAAGACCCGCGTGAGTGTCTTTACCCCATGAATGCGTGTCTTTACCCCATGAATGCGCGGCATTGCCCACGAATGTGAGTTTTCCCCTTATCATCCTCAGTTGTTTACAATATGATTCTGTTATTTATTTCCAGGAATTACAAAAGGAAGACGAGCCAGAAACCACTCACTGAATCCTTACTGAACGAAGCCAAGGCTCTGATAGAGACGGGTGTTTCTATTAGACAAGCGGCCAAAGTGATCGGTTTCCACGAGTCAACGCTACGGAACAGATTGAAGACTGGTGTTGGAGCAGAAAAGCTGGGGCGATTCCAGACTGTCTTTTCCAATGAACATGAAAAACAGTTAGTAGAACATTGTAAAGCCCTAGACCAGCGATTTTTTGGATTAACCCTCAAGTCTCTCCGGTTTCTGTTGTATTCTTATGCAGAGAAAAATAACATACCTCATCCCTTTTCCACTGCAACAAAGCTGGCTGGAAAGGATTTCACACATTCCTTTATGAAAAGAAACAGACTATCATTGCGGACACCACGAAAGACGAGCATTGCAAGGACAATGGGCTTTAATCGACTGCAACTGGACCAATACTTTGACAACCTTACGAGTGTTCTGCGCCGGTACAAGTTTACACCCGACTGTATCTACAATATGGATGAAACAGGGACTTGACCGTCTTGTCTTCGGGAGAAGAAGAGCTGGATTGTGCTTTAGAACTGCAACCTGGTGACTTTGCTGTCGTCAAGGTGCATGGAAAAGCAAAAAACTCTTTTAGGTTGTATGTGGTTAAAGTTACTGATTGTGATGATGAGGGATACGATGGTATCTTCTACAAGCGAGCGCCTCTAACTAAAAGGTTTACAGAAACAAGTGAAGAGTCCTATTTTGAAAAGGGAGACATTGTTTTGAAACTTTCGAAGCCAATTTTCAACAGTTCAACCCGATTTAAAAATATGATCAGTTTTTCAAATGACCTCAGTGATTTTTTAATTTCTTGAATAAAGAATGATTTTACAATAATTTTTTCCCAGTCTTATGTCATTAATTTTACAAATGGGGCAAAGACCCGCAACGTATAGATGCCCAGAAAATGCATTTATTTTGATTATTAATAAGAACACAGACTCAGTAGCCATATACATGGCGGGTAAGTGGCTAAACTATATCCACTTGAAGTTTCATAGAATACATGCGAACGGTTTTCCAGAAATTTGTAAAAAACATGAAACTGCAGGTCTTTGCCCCGACCTACCCTATATTCTTTTATATATCAAGAAACATGTGATTTTAAGCTGTCTTATTTAATATTTAAGGGGTTAAAATATAAATAGATAAACAGAGAAAGAGAGGCTGAGAGAGAGAAGAGATAGGGGAGAGTTATGGAGCAAAAAAAAAAAAAAAAATTCAACTCCTTGGCTGTTGGACAAACCATGCTTTGCAAGAGGGAGTGGTTTTTGAGTCAAACTGAGATAACGAGTGTGTGCTATTTCACATGTTCTGCCCAGTTTTTCTCAGTTCATCTTTGCTTCTGTTCTGCCGTAAACAGTTATGCAGCACTTTTCACATGCTAAATCTGTTGTGTCAACTTCTGTTAATTAGTTTTACTGGACTAACTATCGCTGGTTACTAACTGGCTTCACGCTCGCTGCATTTCCATTCATCATCATCATCCTCCTACTGTGCAGAGCCAGTAAGCGTAGACTATTATGTTTCACATTCTCACACGATCACCAGAATCATGGATCTGGTCATTGTTTTTGTCTCACCCCTTCCTTCTTGATATTTTTGTTTTTCCTCTTTTTCCCCTCAGTTTTGCTAGTTGTTACCAACTTCAAAAAAAGAATCGACTGTCTATGAACTATGTAGAATTGTACTAATACGTTTTCAACTTTCATGTCTCAGTAAGGACTACTTCGTTTGTTTTTCTATTCCTCCAAGAAAAACCATAAAATGAAAGTTGACGAAAGAAGCCAAAGGTGCTGGTCTAGATTCCACCCATGATTTCAAAGTTATTGCACAGCTAAGA